AACGTCAGCTCAGGGTCCCAGGCACTGGGCAGGGTGCGCATTCCCAACTCATTCCAGACCCAGAGATGGTGGCCTCCTGCTGCTCTGTGCAGGATTTCATTAAAAGCCAAATTACTGGTTTATGTATTGTTTGAGGAAAAGAGAAGATAAACAAAGGGCCTTTTTTCATCTGACAAGCAGAATGAAAATGGCAGTCCCCACAGCGGCCAGGAGGGACGTCACCATGGACCCCTGAACCGAACCGGAGGGTCAGTGACTCAGGGCCATCGCTTAGGTGCCGCATAAGTAAACCCAGTCCCAGGTCCAAATTCGGGGATGCATGCCGTTTTCTGGCATCTGCCTGGGCAAGGGCCCTGTCTCCCCTCCTGGAGATGATTCTAAAAGAGCCACTTTTAAAATTGGGAAATTGTTGTACAAACTGGACCCTGTTCCCATTACCTGACCATTTTCCAGGGCAGGTAAGAGAAATGAGTTGCCCTAATGGGCTTCTGCTTTGCTCTGGGCTCATTTCCACTCTTGGGTGTTTACTCGCTGCTCCTCTTCAGCCCTGGTGGGGAGGCAGGGTCTGTTGTACAGATGGAGGAATGGGGCACAGAGAGGTTGTGTGACTGGTCCAAGGTCACCCAGCTGGGCGGTGGGGCAGTAGTGGGTCTGGCTCCAGGCTGCTTGGTCTTAATCACTCCAACTTCTGCGGGCAACCGGGCTTCAGGAAGAGTCCTTTGAGTCCTAGAAGGTGGCATCCTTTTCATGGTTTTTCCCTGCACCCACCTGGTGCCTCCAGTTTGGCACCTTCACTCACGGAGCAGAGTGCTCTCAGCTGGGTACAGTCCTGAGGCCCCTTGGAGAGCTAGATACCAAAAAGCCCACGCTGTCCCAGGTCTTTTGCTGCCATATGTGAGTGCATCTGAGGGCTTTATTCACCCCTTGGTGGGTGCAGAGCTGGTCAGGGCAGCTGGCGAGCAAGGGAGCCCAGACCTCTGCAGGGCGGGCCTGGCATCCCTCCCTTTCCTCCCCCCGGCTCCCCAGCCCTCTTCTCTCCCCTGCCCTCGCTTGTACCACCCAGCACAGAGTCAGTGGCTGGAACAGTCCTGGGGACCCCACAGAGATCAGTCCTCACGGGTCCTTGAGGATGCAAAGGCCCACTAAATCTCAGTGCTGAGTGGGACCCCTGAGTTTATTCCCCTCCTATCCCGCCCCTCTACTCACACCTTCATACAGGTAAGAGAACCAAGGTCCAAGGGAGTAGAACGCTTTGCCAGATTTTTTCCCAAGGGTCATCTCATACTTTGGAGTGAGACCCACCTCTGGCAAATCAGCAGCCTCCCTCTTGGTAGCCATGGGGGTGACCCAGCACCCCAGGGCTGCAGGAATGCCAAGCGGGACTCAGTACGGCAGTTCTCAAGGCGGGGGTGACGTTGCCACACTGCTGCTGAGCTCTAGAAGCCAGGGCCTTCACCCTGCAGTGCCAGCTCATAGTAGGTGCTCAGCTAATGCCCGAATCAAAGCCGGCCACAGACACTAGCACAAAGTAGGTGTTTGTGCTTAGCGTGGGAGTGTACTGAATCAGGTCTCTGTTGCCAGGAGGGAGCTAACAGGAGGCGCTGGGAGGACATTTGTGGAATGAATAAATAAAAGCGTGCTCTTTGAGGAAATAAAGCAGCAGAGAAACTAAGAAGAATCTGGAAAAGACGGACATAAATCTCCACCAAGCGCCGCCAAGTCTCTGCAGTTGAGGCCTCTGAAAAGACCCTGCAGAGGCAGGGGGGCCGTTTGTCACTGCGGGACAGACTTGAGGGCCAGGAAGCAAGGGCTTGATGGAGCCTCATTCATCATTTTCGCATTATTCCTGTGGTGGCGCTGGAGGGGAGCCCATGTATGTGCAGCCACACCGCCCACCTGGCGAGGTGAGCATCGGCGGGGGTGGGTGGGAAGGGACCCTGAGGAAGCGGGTGCACATCCCAGAGCCTACCTGGTGCCCTTGGTGCTGCAACTGTTTTCATACCTACAAGTCTCTAGCTGCACCTGTACCTGGAGTGGCTACCCCTTTTTATCTTCCAGAGCACTGCTCCAATGCCACCGCCTACAGGAAGCCCTCCCTGAGTCCCCTCCACACCAAATCTCAACTTGCAGTCAGATATCAGTCCTCTGATCCTTTGATCTACAGATACCTCCTTGCTCAGCCTGCAGGCTCCACGGGGGCAGGGGCTATGTCTGGTGCAGTCACTGTGAGGCCCCTGTGCCTGATACTAGGGAAGGCACCCTATGATGCTCATTGGACTTCTTTCCTTTGCAGGCAGGTTGTACTGGACACTCGGCAGGTGCCCAGTGCATGGACATCCCACAGGCGGAGCCTTATGTTGACCCCAGCCAGGAGTCAAGGACTGGGCCAGAGGCGTATGCACCGAACACTTAGCCTGGAGAGATGTGGCCTTTGAGCTGGTGAGCCTGGCCCAACCCTGGCGGCCTTCCTTGGGTCTGGTAAGTGCCCACTGGAAGGACCACTAGTAGTCCCATCTAGGCCTGGAGCAGAGGAGGGGTTTGCCCAGGGCACACAGGGTCTAGGGAAGCCCACGCCTGTTACGAGGATAGGAGCCACTTTCCCCAGTGTAGCTCCCCTGGGCTTCAGACAGTTTGTTGAGTGAGTGAGTGAGTGAAACAGGGCCTCCTGACTCCTGCTCAGAGCTCCCTCTACACCCGCCAGCAGCCTTGCTCCAAGGAGAGGCCAGCTGCGCCCATCTGGCTGTGGAGAAGGGAGTGACGCCACAGGGCAGTGCTGCGGTGAGCGTGAGGGAGGCTAGGATGGCTGGGCCCTCGCTGGGGTCCTGCTGAGCTCTGCTCCCAGGGTCTCTGTCTGCCCCGGGGCAGGACACTGCTGAGAAGGTGCACAGAGCTGGGGTGTGGGAAACCGTCCAGGATGCTGCGTCCCACCATCTGTGAGAGCTGCGTTTTCTCTCACACTCAAAAATAGACGTTTCTGTTACACTCGCTCATTGGCAGGGGAGCGGCGGGGCCTGCCAAGGCCTGAGGGAGCCCGCCAGCCTGCTGAGTTTTACTGTACAAACAGTTGGGGAGGGGGGCGTCTCTGTTAACATGAAATCCCCGATCAGTAAACATGCCAATTCCAAGTGTAATTAACTCAGGCCGGGAAACATGCAGCTTTGGACTGCCTTTCACAGTTGACGTTGTTTTCCTTTTATTTATTTATCTCTTTCCGGGTGTGGTGGTGTCTGTGGCAGGTTTCAGCCAGGAGAAATAGAGGGGGGCTTGAGTGGGGAGGGGGCCTGGTTGGGAGAGGAAGCGATGGAAGGAAAGGCGGGCAGGTGGGTCCAACACCCCGACAGGCCGGTGTCTATCTGCTTTCTGTCTGGGGTGGAGGGTGCCCAGGGCAGGAAACGGAGGCAGAGGGAAGGAGGGGGCAGACCCCTGTGCCAGCTGGGCCTAGAGATTCAGAATCGTGGGCGCTGTTGGGGACCCCAGGACGACACTGGGCTTGTGGAGGGGGCTCTGGGTCCTCCCTCCTGACTCCCTTCTGTCTTGCCTCCCCTCAGTGGCCAGCCTGCCTTTGCTCTGCTTTCTCTGAGATCGCCTTGGAGTCTCAGCCCTTTCCTCTCCTGATCCAGTCTCCTGCACCGTGGGCCCTGCTGTTGGAGAAGGCCAAGGGCACCCATGGCCCAGCAGACGGATGCACGGCTCCCTCACCTGCCCCGCCAGGGAAGTGGAGAGGAGACCCCTGCACCCTGCCCCCTCCCAACCGTTTGAAAGACCCTGACTGAGGACCAGCGGGCAAATCCTGCAGCCAAACCAGACTAGTCTTCATGTGGACTGTGGGGGAGGACTGGGTGGGCTCTGAGAGAAGTCCTGAGTGAGAGAAACTCAAAGCAAATGACCCCAGATGGTGGAGCTGGGGAGGTGAAAATGCCGGTTAGAAGGACATAGGATGTCCTGCTCTTCCTTTTCAAACACTTAGAATGTTGTCAGGCCATTTGAGGTAATAAAAGCACATCATAAAAATCTTAATACTTTAGTGTGTCTGTGTGTTTAGAGATGATGTTTGTTAAGTGCAAGGTTTAAAAACAAAGGCTACCTGCCTCTGGGAGGGCTGCCCACAGCGAGCCCCTGGCCTTGGCCCAAGGAGCACTGCGCAGGGAGCACCTTCCTGCAGACCAGCCGGGGGCTTGCTCAGGACCCACTCCCCTGCCTTTGAGCTCACATTCCCGGCTGAAAGCCAGGGCCCTCTGAGGTCTGAGATGCCCCCCAGCCCCAGCTGCCGGTCCCCGTGAGGGGCAGAGCGGCCGGGGCCCAGGGGCAGAGCCGGTGCCCACGCCTCGCTCTGCCAGCCTCCGCCTGGTCACGACACAGCCGGGCTGACTCAGACGCAGCCCCGAGCGGGAGCCTCATAAATTACATAATTACCTATGAAACCTGCCACCGCCGGTTCTCAGCCGGGAAGGACACGCTCCGGCCGGCGGGTGACTCATGCTGTTTTCCCCAGAGCCTCTCACCCGCGCTTTGCCCGCCGCCTCAGTCTGGGCTGGCTGGGCAGGGGGAGGGGGCACCAGCTTGGCTTCCTCCTTGGCTCTGCAGCAAAGGAAAGGCAGGCAGCCACCATCTTGCCAGGGTTTTGGGTGGGGGGGCATCTGCTCCAGCCCCTCTGTACCCCGCTGCATCCCTCCAGATGGACGGTCTCCATCTGAAGAAGGAGGAAACAGGGCTTGTTTCTTGGCCCCCTCCATCCATGGCCAGAAGGTGGCTCTGACTAGTGTCAGTGATCCCCCCCATCACAGACCCTTGGGTGAGCCCAGACACTCAGTTGACCCCTAGACCTCCACCCCTCCCCTTGGGCGTCTCTCCAGAGTCCCTTGGTGTGGGCAAACTACCTTTTGAGACGACTTCTCTTGAAAGTGACTTTGAGTCTGGGAAAGAGGCATAAGCTTGTCTTTCCAACCCAAGCTGGGGGTGTAAACCTGGTATATGCCTGGTAGGGGATGCAGTGGGGAGGGGGCTACTCCTGTAAATGAAAAACCTGGTAGAATGGGGTCTGGTGGATGTAGATGAGGACTGAGACGTGAATCCAGCTTCTGTCACTTACTGACCTGGAGCCTCAGTTTCCTCATCTACAAAATGGGCACAGTACCCATGCGATGAGAATGAAATGGGTTTTGAGTATGAACAAAGTGCTGCCCAGGTCAGGTTCTCATTCAAGTGGGGGCTCCCTTCTGCTGACCCATGGCTGCTTAGGGTCCCCACAGATCCTGAAGTCACAGCATACCTGCAGCCCAGAGACTGCCCACTCCTGACAGTCCAGACCACCCCTTGTGGCTGGTCCCAGCATCCAGGGGCTGTGCCCTCCCGATCTGCCCCCCAGCTTCTGAAGGCACCCCCAAACAAAACCATGAGCAACAGAGCCCATTACGCTCAGAGCCCCATTCAGGTCCCAAGCAGTGTTGTAGCAGGTCATGAGGGTGCAGAGGGTCCCAGACCCGGGACAAGACTTTCAAGAGCCCCATGCCCCCCACTCCCCTCCTCGGCTCCACGTCCGGGGAGAAGGCTGCACGTGTGAGCAGCTCTGTTGTGTGGGGGGTCTGTGGCCTGCTCAGGTCACCTCCTGGGGGAGGTGGCGGTTGTAGAGGTATGGACAGGGTGGTCCCCAAAGCCAGCCACCTTCCCAGTCCCACAAGCCAGCCTGGCTCACCCTGTAAGCCCACCTCTCATTCTCATTTCCGCACTTTGTGTACAGACTCCAGACAGATGTGCCAAGGGGCTGGCTTCATGGGGAAAATCTCAGGGCAGGTACTTTTCCTACCATGACCCAAGCCCATCCTTCCTTCCTTACCATGATCCCTCTGGAGCTGGCCTATCGGTCCAGTAATGCTACAACAGCCACTCTCTCCAACTGTGCACCTACTGTGTGCCAGGCAGGAGTAGGCTGCTGCATCCAAGACCATGGGAGAAGGTCCTGGGGAACAGCACAAATCTGGATGCAGATCTTGTCAGATCCCAGCTCCTGGGAAATCACTTGCCTGCACCAGGACTCAGTCTCCTCATCTGTAAAATGGGTGTAATTGAATCAGTCTATGTGACCCTGAAGTCCCTTCCTGTGCAATCACCTTGTGTGTCGAGCCCTCCAGGCTCCTGGGCCACTGAACCCTCAACCATCAAAACACCCTACCGCTATCTTTGCTCCCTGCCATCATCCAAGGGAGCCCAGCCCCTCCGCAGTTCTCCTCCCAGGGAGGTGGAGCAGGGCAGGACTCACATCCTCTCCCTTCCCAGGGCTCCTCACCCCCTCCCAGAGCCCCCTTCCTCACCTCCCTCTGCTCTGTGTTCCCCTGGCTCTTCCCTCCCCATGCACTGTCAAGCCAGAACTGTACATGGAAGTTTCTAGGAGTTACCCAGGGGAGTTGCAGCTCCCTAGAAGGAACAATGGGAATCTGAGCATCAGGTCTCATTGCTCTCGCAGCTTCCGTCCTGCCACAGGCCTCCCCTCATCCCCGCTGCACACAACCTTCACCATCCCTTCCTGCAGCCCTTGTCTCTGAGCATGCTGCCCCTCCATGGGACTCTTGTCCTGTCAGGGATGCTGGGGCCTCAGAGGGGTCTGCCAGGTCTCCCAGAATGCAGAGCACAGCCATTCAAGGGCAGTGTGGCAAGTACCCTAGGGCACAGGCTCTGCACCCTGACTCGAGTTCTCGTCCCAGTACAACGTTGCGGGTGCTACTTCATCTTTGTGGGCCTCAGGCTTCCAATCTGTCGAATGGGGCTGCAGTGAGAATTACAGGAGTTAATCCGTGCAAGGAGGTGAACATTAGCTGTGAGACGACTCACTGCCCATCGTCTCTGAGACCCTGTGAGGTCCCTAAGGTGTCCCCGTTTTTGTGGTTCCACACTGTTTATTTGTTCCTTTGCCACAGTCACTGACAACTTTGGTCCTGGAGCACAGGGTCACAATACAATTCTTGCAGAGGTTAGCTTCTCAGCAGCCTCCAGACCTGACCCTGTCCTCCCGGGGACCCTCCTGCCCTGGCTTCTGGGCTGTGGGGGCTGGACGTGGGGAGAGGTAAGCCAGATGTTTGGATGGGAGGGTTCAGAGGTAGAAATTCAAGTCAGGGGCATGAAGTTAGGTGCTGGAGGACAAAGCCAGAAAGCCTAGGGCCTGGCACCTGGGAGGAGTCCTGAGCTCAGGGACCCTCGGATACATCTCATGCAAATGAGCTTGGGGTCAGAGGTCAGGGCAGACAGGGCCAGGCAACACTGGCCAGTGGTGTGACTTAGGCCTGATCTGGGTACAGTGGGGACATCTGAGCTGGCAGCCCCAAACCTCAGCAAAGGGCCTTGTGACACATGCTCCCCTTCTCCAGGCAGCTCTCTTCTGTTTCCCCACTGTCCCTTGATTCACATGACCTCTGCATGGATTGTCAGAGAGTTGAGGAATGTGTGTGTGCACGTGTAAAAATGATCGCATACACTGTGCATGTACACCCCATGTGCACGTGCACACATGCAGATATGAACCTGAGGATGAAGGCGCTTTGTGGGTGTTTGCCAAGATCAGGGACACTGGACGGGGTGCCAAGGGGTCAAGGGAGTCAGAAAGCTGAAGAGATGGCAAGGAGCGGTGGGCATTGGTGGTAGGTGAGTACTGGATCAGGATCTGGTCTAGAAGAAAAGTCTGGGTTCAGAGAGGACCTGGCCTTCTCTGAAGTATGGTTTCTCACTGGTTCTTCTTGAGACTACAGTAACTGACAGCCTGTGCACTGTCCCTGGGTTACTCTGTCTGATGCTGTGGAGCCAAAGGACTCTGGCATCCTCTCCTGGTCACTAATGAAGCTGACCCTACTCTGACCTCCTGGTGATCAGCCCCCTCTTCTCACGGTGGGCAGTTGCTCCCACTCACACCCAGTGCCCCTAACGGCCTGCTCATTTGCTTCCCGGGGCATGGGGGCACTGTCTCTGCTCCGAGGACTGTTCCGCAGCCACACCCCACCTCTGACGGGTGGCACATCAGACAGAGCAGGGCTGAGGTCAAGCGCTGCCCAAGAACACAATCACATTTTCTCACAGAAGGAGAGTTTGTTTTCCAGAATATAAGTACATTTCCAGCCCTCAGGACAGGGATGGGGGACAGGGGCATGGGGTGGGGCAAGGGGCTGATGGAGTGAAGATGCTTTACTCGGCACCTAGGAAGCCTTTAACGCCGAAGATAGGGATGGGGGAAAATGTGTCATTGGCGATGCAAGCACCACAGACTCGCACACCTGAGAAACCAGCCCGGCTCTGCTACGGACTTGCTGTGTGGCCTTGGGGGAGTCACTCAAACCCTCTGAGCTTCCGTTTCCTTATTGCAGGAGCTGGGTATTTTGGAGAGAGCCCTGCGACCACGCCTGGCACCGTGTGGATAGCTGGTGCTCTGTCACCCCGAGGTCTCTCCGCCAGCCTTCGCTGCTTCTCCCACCCCCTCCCCACTCCTGCTGAGACACAGGGGATGCTGGGAGCGTGGAACAGACCACCTGAGCTTGCGGCGTGGCCGCTGTGCCCCGGCCTCTCCCATAGAGGGAAGAGGATGCGGGCAGAGCCCGCAGAGGGGCCCCAGGCCATCGCAGGGCGCAGGGGTCTCTCTGTCCCCAGGAAGTGGGGCTGAAGCCCCTGCCTGCAGAGTCGTTGCTGGGCTGGCAATGCTGCCATTTGTGCCCTGCCTGCTGCCATCTTCCCTCTGGCATCTCCCTCCAGGTGCCGACGCTTTTCTGCGGCAGGTCCAGGAGGACGGGGGCTGCTGGCTGCTTGGTACACATGAGGGGGCATGGGTGGGTGGTCCTGGCCTTTACTAAGGCCTCCTCTTCCCTAAGCTCATGGTAAAGAGATGGTGCAGACCCCTCTCCGGGGTGGGTCACTGCATCAGCCCCCAGACCCCAACCGCCCTGGGATTCCAGCTCCCCGCCTCACTGTGCACAGCAGAATGGCTCTCTGGTAGCTCTCCTAGCCTGAAATTCGGCA